CTACCGTAGCATCCGTGGGAGTTACAGTATGACAAGAGCAAAGGAGGAAGTCAGGTGTGAAGAGGAGGTCAGTGTGATTTAGAACAACGGGTCAACAAAAAATTGAACTTTAACACGAGGGACTGCTGTTTGTTTCCTGTTTCTAACCATGGGTCAGCGTTGGCGTTTTCTGTGAAGGCTTGACTACAATCGTTCCTTCATCTTAATAACCTCGTGTTTATGACTTCGTCAAGCTCCCCTGACCTTAACGAAGTACGTATTCAAACACAAAACATGATCTTTCCCTAAACCTAACCCTCAGATCTGAAAAAAGCTTTCATGAGTTGTTCTAGAAGGCAGAGACAACGTCTTTCAATTTGTAGGACTTGTTAGACAATGAGTCAGGTTGTGGGACGCTGTAGGCACCGTGTATGAGACACGCCTGACTTTCGTGTAACAATACAATAAAATAGTACAGTTTAAACCCATCCGCATCATTATTAGACGTAGGACTTCCCACGTTGGGGGTTTCAGCCAAAGGGGTAAAATGTGACGAATAGGGATGAGATCCCGTTCAATAAAGAGGTGGTTAAGGTTATGGAACGATCTTGGCCAAAACAATGTTGACTGTCAGTTAGAAACGTCAAGCGAACATTCGTCTTGTTTGTATCCGATATTTAGTTGACATATCAATTCTCCATCCCAATCTCCTCCCTCTGAAGACTTTGTTGCTCCAAACCAACATCACCTGACTTCCTCCTTTGCTCTCGTCATTGCTCTTTTGGCCACTAGAGGGCTTTAAATGTAAACATACTGTATGTTGTTTTGGGCACTTGCTGAAACAACTGATGCTGTTGTTCTTTTATTGAGGACAGTATCCCCTTTGTGGGTTTGGTTTTGTGCTTCGCTCACACAAAACTCTTTACGAGTTTGACTTTTCACAGCAAATGTGATGGAATGCAGATGTATCCATTTTCTCTCTCAGTTCCATCTTTGACATGAACCCTGCCATTTGACGGTTATTATAAACCTCAGCCAGCATCACCGTGACCCTCATAAACCATGACCCTCATAAACCATGCACACGGTAACAAGATACATTACAGTGGCACTGATATATTAGAGGAGACCTGCATCTGTGGACTGGTTAGCATCTCGGTTCCACATATAGCCCCATGGCAAGCACCTAAATGACTATGACAGCAACATGTCTGAAACATAAAGCCACTGGACTACTTTGTTTCCTACACTGCAGTCATTGTCATCTCTGCCCTCTCTGTTGTGACAACTGCAATTCTTATTTTAGGGGACTATATTTGGATTTAACAAATTACGTCACAGTGGCTCCTTCTGAAATACAGCCGGTGTCCAGTCAGGCATACTTCACACACAAAGGTAAATCCTCTACCAATAATTATCAATGCCTTTACAAAGGACTGCCTCTCTCTGGTTCACTTTACAAACCAGTCGCCATAAAAAAATGTTGGTATTGTACGTTTCTGCAAACTATGGATACGTTGAATGTCGACGTTTCTGAACAAAAAAAAACTTACCATAAATATGTTTCATTTCAGCTTCTTATCACGCATGCAGAAACGCACAATGCCACATGGTTAGTGTGAAACGTAGGTTTAGGCAACAAAATTACTTGGTTAAAGTTAGAAAAAAGCGTTCAGCGTTTGTGTTAAAATAATAACGTAACAGCACAATAACATAACAACACAACAACGTAACGTAACGTAACAACATAACGTAACAACGTAAGGTAACAACGTAACGTAACAACGTAACGTAACGTAACAACTTAACATAGCGTAACGTAACAACGTAACAACGTAACAACGTAACGTAACAACTTAACGTAACAACTTAACATAGCGTAACGTAACAACGTAACAACGTAACGTAACAACGTAACGTAACAACGTAACGTAACTAACGTAACATAACTAACGTAAATAACTAGCAAATTTCCTATGTAAAGATGAAGTTAAATGTAACAAGCGACCTCCTGGGTGACAGTCTTGTGTTTGTTTGACTGATGCAGACTATTCAGGACTTTGTTGCTTGTTGTATTCATTATTAAACCACTTTCAATAATGGTCGCTCGATTTAACTCACTTGCTCTGACTGAATGCAAAAATGTTCATGTTCAATGTAGCCGTGGTTTGCAGAAACACTTTTTTCCTGGCGACTGGGCTGCTCTTTCTGAGTGGGAGTTTTCTCCAGAATCTCATAAAAAAGCTGCCGAGGAGAGGAAGAGGCGGAAAAATAAAGGACTTCTTGAAGTTGCACCCAGAAGGGTTTCAGTCAGATTAGAGCGGCACGGTTGTACCAGATGTATGTTGGCAAAGAGACGGGGCTTAAATAGAAAGTCTGGGTCCTGTTTATGATATCCCAGATCCTTACAAGAAGGGAGAAGATTTGAAAACAAATTTGAGAACCAGGTTGTACAGTATTTGGCGTTTAAGTCAGTGGTATTTAATTCGGTGATGTGAGTGTATGTATTTGTGTGTGTGTGTGTGTGTGTGTGTGTGTGTGTGCGGGCTTGTATATGTGATGATCTGTTTGCCATGTCATATGGAAGCTGTTTATGTGTTTGGCCAGATCCTTCGCTGAGGTGTGTGTGGTTGCAGAGGAGTCTGCTTTTTCTCTCTGCATCTATCTCTCTCTTTACTCCGGTGTTCCCAAAAATCCAAGACTGAATCCGAAAACATCTGGAGCTCATTAAGATCGGCAATTTTGTCCTTGACATCAACTAATGATGCAAATCAACCACATGATTTAAGGATTTACAAAGGTATAACAAAGGCGTTGTGCGCTCAAGCATTTTCTCCCCGATGCTATTAAAAACACAACTGGGCCGCTTTGAATTATTTCTGTATTAAAAATGTCTGGAAGTCCTCGCATGAACCTCCGCACCTGTGCACAGGTACAGAGCCAGGAGCTGGAAATAGCTCAAATGAAAGAAGCTGATTAGTCCTGCAATAAATAATATCTTGGCTCACTCCAATATACACATAAATAGAAGAAAAAAGAGAGATGTGAAATGGCTTGGAGGTTGTTATTAATGGGAGTTTGCGGATTTTCCCTTTGATCCATTGTAATCCCTGTCTCAGTAATTAAAGTCAGCTGGCCAGACAGCTCTGTGTTTGGAGCAGACAGTGGTCAGCATCTGGAGAACTAGCCCCTTCCTTTGACTCACCATAGCCCTCCAGCTGCTGCTCGCATACACCACCTAGCTTTGCCTGTATGCAACAAGAGAAGAAGATTGGAAGTCCTCTGGCTAAAGGCATGGAGCTGGAAGCTTGCACTGAGTGGTGGTAATGCGACGGTGGGCATCCAGCAACAGCTGCCGCCTTCAAATAGGAAAACAGCTCATAAATCTGCAAGCTCTTAGGTGTATGGAGAGAGTGACAGAGAACAAGGCGAGAGCATTTGACGGAGGAGGGCAGAGAGAGAAATAGACGGAGAGAGGCGATGGAGAGGGGTGTGAAAGGTGGGGAAAGTATTTGTGAAGAAATTCCTGAGGGAGGCAGATTAGAAATAAAAGAGGAACAGATGGAGACAGATGGACAGATGGAGACATTACTTAAGTGGTGGACTGAATGCAGCTACGGTGGTCAGACCATCAAGAAAGGATAAAAAAATGGAAAGAGCGACATGCTGGCCAAGTAGACAGGGGAAAAGAGGACGGTAAAGTCATTTTACCTGCACCCTTTGTCCCCCCTTTTATATTCCATTTTCTCATTTAGCACAAACCCAGCAGGTGGGAGAGTGGCTCGCTTGGTTTGCAATTATTGCCTCTTGTTTCCAAGGTGACAGGGTTTATATCTTTAGGGGCGGCTGGCAGCGCGTTTCGAGGGTAAGGCGAGGACAAAACGCTCCACCTTATTGCACGATGTGGGTGTACCGCTTAAGGAGCGTTGGGCAGACTGTAAAATTTTACAATCCGTTTTAAAGGCCGGCATTCACTCTTCACCTGCTCAGAGTCAGAGTTTGTGCATTTACCTTCTTCCTTCCTTCAAACTGTCTGTGATGTACTCATCGGTAAATGGCACGAAAGCCTTTGCGAGACAGTTACGACTCTGAGGCCTCCAAGTCCAACGAGATATGGAGAGCTCCCCTTCTTTAAAAAAAAAAAAATATGTAAAGTTAATGGGGAGCAGCTGTGATGTGGATGGAAAGTGACAGCTCTGGAAAAACCTGTTGTGTCATTCAGGAAGAGTGATGAGCTTTCAAAGGGTTGTAATTATCTGGGAGAACAGAGCATCATGGGAGCTGACAGGATTCCACAGTAAAAAACTGTGAATTAAATTGAGAGAGAAAGTCAGTTTTAATTGGCTCTTTGTGAGATCATAAAAGTCAGTGGAGCACTATGTCTGCGTTGAGATACTCACGCCTTCTCGTTGCCGATAGCGGCGGCAACTGTGCTGCACTTTTTCCATAAGAATACAAAGTGCGTGTGCCATCCGAACCTTTAGTCACCTGCAGCACTTTCACCGTCATCGACAGAGCTTTTTCTACTCTAAAACCACAGGGACCTCCTCCTCTTAAACCTCGTCCTCCATCACCACGTGCGGTTGATTAGCTTGGTGCTGAAATGTGCTGCTTATTTTAACAAGAGAGATTATGAACTACAGAGGCGGTCTGTAAAATAACACACAAACACACACACACACACACACACAATGCCAAACGCACACCCTTCTTATCACATGAGCTCACCACCAGAGTCCTGCATGCTCTGACATCCTCGGGGAAATGCCGTCAACCCAGAAAACCCTACAGTTGTGTCAGTGGTGCACATGTGTGAGCGGTCATACACTGGCCCTCTGGTCCTACAGTGTGTCATTTACTAAGAATGACAACAGAGATAAAACTGAACCAAATTCATGTTAAAATTGGCGGGAATCTCTATATTTACAGTTATTTTCCTGTAAAATAAAGTGTGTTTTTCCAGCATTCATTTAAAAAAATAGCAATAATATAAATAGGTTGAATTTTCAGTCTTCACTTACCTTGGCCCAGAGCCACTGAAGTCAGGACAGACAGCAGAAGCACCACCTTATTTAATTCCAACATGGCACCACACCTTCAGTCACAGAGGGTTGGTTGCTTTTCTCTGATCCTCTACAGAGTTGACATACAATTAAAAAAGAAATTAAAAAAAAAAAAAAAAGTGTTGATTCTTCAGGCAGAGCTGAGCGTAGCCGTCAGGTGTGAGTGATGCTGCTGGCCGAGCTGCTCGTTCCTCCTTTGAGTTTAGTTGCTGAGTTGGAGACAGGAGCTTTTTAAAAGAAGGGGCATCGGGAGTGCACACCAATCCAGCCCCTCTCCGCTCGCCATTGGCCAGTGAAATGTAACATCTGGGTCCCCCATATCATCTTCCAAAAATAGGTGAGGGTTTGGTGGGGGTGGACACAGAGAGGGAGGGAGAGACTAGCAGAGAGAGGGAGGGATTGTGAGTGTGAGTGTCTATGTGTGTGTGTGTGTGTTTGGGTAGGTTTTGTTACTGAAAGGTGTTTTCCTGATCGTCAAAGCTAGAGCTTAGTAGTTTCGACTTGTTTCGCAACAATATTTCCATATTTCTTTGATGTGTAATCCTCTTCGGCTCCAGTGTCGTGGTCTTTATCCACACAGCAGGTGTGCGCGTGCTTCTATGCAAACACAGAGCAGCTTTGTTATTTTATTGCGGTTTATTTCAACATTCAAAATAAAGGAAATTGGTTTGAAAAGTAACGTATGATATTCCAATCATCCATGATACCAGTTTGGGGCTTTGTTAACCATTTATTCAGTGTTGAGTAGGGGAAGCAGTTCTAATCCCCCCCTCCCTCTATCTCACTCTTTTTTTTATCTCCACCAGACACAGGACAGTGCCAGATGCTGCTCTGCCTCTGGTTCGACTTCTGGTTCAGTTTTGTAACTTTTTAACAGTCACTGATTGCGGGGCGATGCACTGCCAAAGAGTGGAAGTGGCGTCATATGGCATGCCATTCAGGAAAAACTCACCAGACACGCCAGACACGAGAGGCACTTATGAGGTGCAAAGTACTCGGAATCCTTGAAATATGCCAATTGTTGCAATTTAGCGACTATACGATTGTAAACTAAAAAAATCCATGGCAAATAAAAACATTGCCTATCTTCATTTATTTTACAAATTCCTCTGGGTTCAAAATTTGAAAAGATGTTAATAACATTTGAAAGATTTTTGTTTTTCAAAATAAAGGAACCTCTTGAGGAAGTTGTTCACATATTTATATTTACATGAGTCAGAGACTCAATGTCTTGATAAACGTTGGGGGGGGTGGCAAAAACAATGGAATAAAGTTCAGGATATTAAAGTTCAAACCCTGACAGTTTTCACACTTCAGTGGTGGACCAGTTAATGTAACCAATTACATTAACTGAGTACTGTACAATTTTGAGGTACATTACTTGAGCATTTACTTTATATTTTAACTCCACTACAATTTGGAAGGAAACATTTTTATTTTTCCTCCTCTACGTTGACGTGACATGTATTTACTGGTTCCGATGCATCTTGTTTAAAATGCCTCCACAAATATATCAGTCACAGGAGACGTTTTAATACAGAGTAAATACTTTGAACGTTGAGACTTTTCGTACATTTTTACTTAGTGCCGGATTTGTACTTCTAATGAAGTACTTTTATACTCTTCAACCACTGTTATTGCGAAGTATCATTTAAAACTCATGTTAAATCCATTTTCAGAGAGAGATCATGCAACGTGTGATCACCCGTTCATATTGTTTTTCTCTATATTTGATTGTATTAATGTCTGTGTTTTGTAATGTCTGTTTTCCTGTAGAATTAAGTGTTCTTGTCCAGCAGCAGGTAATTTAAGAATAACAAATAGCCCACCGCTAGGTTATGAAGACATACTTATCTCGATAGAAATAAAACATTAAGTAGTAAAATAGTAAAAAATAAAATGCAAAAGTGAAATCTTAAACAGGGAATGTTTTGGTTTTTACATGGAATTATGAGTTTTTCTTTAATATTTACCACGAAGACAGACAGCTGGAACCCATTTAGAAAAAGCCATTGTAAATAGTTCAGATTTGAGCTTTTGTGAGTTGTACAAATAAAGCACTTTAATAAACTTTCTGCCTCACTCCACTAAGTCTTTTGATCGCATTTCTTCTCCATGTAAGACTCTCCATCTCTCCCATGGATATTACAACAAGCTCCGCTGTCAGATATGATTGTTCAATCCTACGGGCCGCCGCCAACTCTAAAGCTCATCACTCAACGTCTCTGGTGAAAAGCCCAGGCGACAATGCGGTGACAAGTCCTTGTTTCCTGACAGGGATTGGACAGGCATGAAAGACAGGACCACTGAGCGCACACACATATCTCTACAACCCTCGTCACTTTGCTCCTGACAGATTTAATACCGCCGGATCAACATTCCTTTTCACTGACTTCCCTTCACCCACTCACACATGTGCGTTAGTGCATCAGTATTCAGAAGAAGCACCTAAACTTCGTACAAATACACATGACCTCATTCATAAACAGCACAGCAGTCTCTTAGTCATTCTCATCGAAGCGCGAAGCCCAGAGCTCAATAACGAGCCGCCGTCCTCTACAGCCAATTATGGTCTGATGATCACACCTGTTTATGGCTTTCATTACCAAATCAAATCCAGTTGAGAACCAGTAAACAGAAGTAATGGCATGCGCTCACCAAGAACACTCAAAACTAACTGCATGAGCAACGTGATCTCATCCCTACTCGTCATATTTTGCCGCTTGAGCAACCTTTTGTATTGCATCTTGAATTTAACAATAACGTAACGCGTGGTTAACGTTGTCGAGGTTTAGGAACCAAAACTACTTGGTTAGGTTGAGAAAAAAGATCACGGTTTGTGTTACAATAACTACGGATAGAATCTCATGTGACATAGTGACACATGGAAAGAAAATAGAACAAAACCTTTGGTTTCACGCGGGACACAAACGGCACGTAATTTACGGTAGTTTGACTGTTTTTTGTGCCCACCCGCATGCTGGGAAGACCCGCCCTACTCTGCCTCCGATTGGCTCGTACATGTTGTCTTCTTTGCAGAATTTCTAAAGTTTATTGCTGATGAACAAGATTATTGGAAGGTTGGCAAGTAAATGAATAATAAATTACTGATAAGTCCTGATTATGGGAGAGAAATGCATTCTTTAGATAAGATTACAGATCCGTTGGAGATTTAAATTTTGATGTGTCCTGACTAAAGTTAATGTTGAAATGGCCCACTAATTAACAAGAAACTGTTAAAATGGCACTTAATTTCAAAAAGGTTGCCGACCCCTGCTTTAAAGCCTTAATTTAGTCTTAGAACGTAAAAAACATAACTTTATCTCCATATAAAGGTGATTGAGAACATGTTAGCAAACAGTTGCCCATCTACACATCCAGCAAACACGGATCAACAATAGCTTTCATTTGGACCCGTGTTTTTGTACACCACTCTGCTTTTAGCTCCGTTTTAGTCTCCACCAGAAAAATACCGTTATTGCTGAGCAGGTGATTTTATTGGACCTTTCTCGCAGAAAACCGCTGCCTGTGGCGGCCGGACACGTGGTTGATGAGAGCAGAGCTGCGGGCAAGAAAACCAAGACAATGATCCAAAAAAAAAAAAAAAGTTGAAAAGCTCCATGGAAACTGCAGTTGGTCTGTGATTCTTGGTTGGTTATCATAATCATTTTATCGTCATATAAGTTAATACAAAATATACTGATCACTGCAACTTTACGTGAAGGAAAGCAAAACACAAACTGAATCCTTTAAGAGGTTTTTTTTTTTGTTTTTTGTTTTTTTTATTGGACAACAAAAACTTTCTGGGCCTTTTGTAACAGCTAATGAAGTAACCGAAACAAAAGTAATGCAGAAGTGCAGGCCGACCAAACAAACAGAAAACACTCGAACAGAAAAGTTATAAATGGCCAACCTCCACAACGTCTCATCTCAGCAGCACGTTTCAGTAGAAAGTTAAAACATAAAAGCATCCGACCATGAACATTAAAAAAAGTTTTGAAGGAAAAAAAATACAACATTCCAGTGGCGTCATAGAAAATTCATCTCTCTGAAGGAATTTCTGTCTTTTGCAAAGTAATCAGTAAACAGTGTAATGCTACAGCTTTTACAAGTTAGACTGACACAAAAACTCATGCCATTCCCTAAAAAGACTAGACTGAAACCACAGCTTCTAAATATCATCCTTCTACTGTTGCTCAACAGCACATTGGGCTAAAGGTGTAGCCTGATCTACACAACTGAGCTGTTAAACATTGAATCACATGAACAATCTATAAAATACAAAACAAGAAAAGGGATCAACCGTACGTTTTTGAAAATGAGGAGTGCTCACTCTGGCTCTTATGTGTTACAATTCTATGAGACAGTCTGTGCCGGGGTAGTCTGGGAGGTTAAGCTCGTATTTTTTCTGGATGTCATAAGGCAGGAAGCGTCCAGCCAAGAAATGCTTCCCCGAGAAACTTATGGCGCACTTCTTTGGTGCTGTGAGTGAGATGAGAACTTCTGGGTTAATGCCATCCTGACTTGGTTCTTCTACGTCCCAACCTGAGGAAGACAGAAAAGAAGGAGGAGGAGGAGGAGGAGAGGAATTTAGGGCGAGGAGGATTGTGATCATTTTCTGCCTGTTGTGCTCACACCCAGCAGGTGGTGTATTCGGGGTATGATGAGCTCACACTGAGTCGGCTGTAGTGTAAGATTTATCCTCCACGTGTGCCTCCAGACTTGGAAAACTCTTGCCTTGGAGCCAAGGCTCCTAGGAAGCTGCCTGGAGGCACATTTATCAAGTTGTGTTTCTGAGCCTGCAGCCTGATATCTACAGTTTGTGCGAACACGTACCTGAGGGCACATCCACACTGGCAATGGGGATCTTGACTTGCTTCAGGGTGACCAGAATACCAGGGTAGGGCTCTTTAATGTTGGCACAGTCTGCATCTGGGCCCAGCATGGCATCAATCACTAGGTTGTAGGCATCGTTTATGAGCTGCACCTGAACAGATTGGATCCCAGCATGAATAATTGGGGGGTTGCAAGATGAATAACAGCAAAAGGAAAGCAAATCAAGTAATCTGAAAAGACAAAGTTTCATTTTCATTCAAAAGGGTCACAAACTAAAACGGTTTTTGGACCTTTTAGAACGATCTAATACAATGCCACAGAGGATTGGGTTACCTTTGGACAGAGCAGGGCTAACAGTTTCCCCCCGTTTCCAGTCTTTGTGCTAAGCTAAGCTACCCAGTATGTTACATATTTACCATAAGAACATATCCCCCTACAACAGATCGTGTGATATCTTACATTCATTGCATTCATTTTTCGTGGGATTGTGCAGCAACATGAGCGATCTGTGGGCCTGCTGTGCAGAATCTGTTTGAGCAACACAACTACTTGGTTGTGCTTATCAAAAGATTGTGGTTTAGATTAAATAACTATCCTCGATGAAAGTCCTGTGTTTGTCCTCCTTCCTGTGTAAACTCTGTCGCTCTTTTTACGACATCACCTGACTTCCTTTGAAGTGGGTTATTCATGGATTGCATTGAATTACTTTTCACAGGTTTAACCACGAACAGAGAATGAGAGCAGCCAACCACACAGACGTGAGACTGGTATCAATCTTCTCATTTAGCTCTTAAAGACGGCATACGAGCGCATCTCCTAAAATGTTGAACTACTCCGTTAACAAAAGCAACTTTCACTGTTACAAATGATTCAGTGCATGCTTTATAATTAAATGATAGATTGTGTGTTAATTGCTGAGTCAATCAAATGTGACAAGCTGCAACATCACTGAAAATGTGTTGCTCAGTAGAAATGCTGCTGACCTCTGTGGGGAGATAGGAGAGGGAAGGGATGTCCATCTTCTCACACTGAACCGTGAAGTCCTGGTGTAGACTTTGAGAGGAGCGTTGAGGGTGGTAGATGGTTGGCTCATATTCCTGTGTGTGATGAGGCAACAGAGAAAAACAACGGAGAAGACGTGGGGGTGGCACAAAGGAGGAGAGAAACACAAACATAGAGAAAAGGTTACTCAATATTGACACTATAGCCTGTGATTTCAGCCAACAGTGACAATGTGTTTGATACATTGCTCCTGCAGGTCAAGTGAAAATACTGATGACCACTGGTCAGACGTGGTTTTCTACGGTCTGGCTCCTGAATGAATACTTCCCTCATAAACTGGGAGCTGAGAGGAGTAGAAATCCAGATTTTTCAGTGTGTTTGATCATGGAAGAGGTCATCTTTGTTCTCAAAAACAGAATCATTGATAAATATCGACGTAATGACCTAAATAAAGGGACAGATTACCCAATGTTTTTGTTAAGCAAAGTTTAAGCCAACTTTTGGAAAAATAGCAAAAAAGAGATGTGAATTAGGTGCGTTTCAATCCAATGGGTTGAGGTTATGAGGCTATGCAAGGCTGCAATCCGCCAGTAAACAGAGTAGAAGAAGAAGTAGAGGTTGCGAATCGATAACCAAACAAGTCGCCATGGCCATCTAACTATTTACGATAGAAAAATGGAGAGAGGTCTTCAGGAATTTCTTTAACTTGGGCAAGTTTCATTTTTTCTTTCATGTCAGCTAGTATTGGCCATTACTCATGCTGACCAGAGACGAAGACAAGCGTTCGAGCATTACGGGAATACCCGGGAGGACGCCGTCAGCAAAAAACAGCTTATCAGACATGTGAGTTAAACGTCATGGGGTGTAATGTTTCAGGAATTCCAGAATCTTAAAGAATTTTTATCAAGTTTATCAAAGTTTATAAAAGTAATCGGGTGCATTAGGTTTTGCTTTATGTGCCCAGGCTTTGAGATATCCATCCATCCATCCATCCATCCCAATACAGTGGAGGTGAAGGTGCTCAGCGTTACATTTCATTTGTTGCAGTCAGAAAGTGAGGAACATCCGATTACAATAAAACGGGATTTCAAAGTCATTATTTGATCTGGAATGCTATTATTCGGTACAGTACTCTGTATTGGCTGTACCCACATGTAAGGTATCGGAGCATCCCTACCACAGGGTTCACATTTGTGTTGTTTTAGTGAAAAACACCAAATGAAGGTAGAAATAAATAGAAACGGTTTCAAATGTGGCTGAGCTGAGGCTGCCCCACAAAGGAAGTGATCTGTCATGTCAGACAGGCCGCTGCTTCCCTGGGGGTCCTAAACCAATCAGACCGCCAGAGACCTTCATCACCTGACGTCATCTCCATCATGATCTCCACAGAGCGAGCAACCAGGCCGAATACAACCCACCGTGTGTGTGTGTGTGTGTGTGTGTGTGTGTGTGTGTGTGTGTGCAACCCTCGGGGTTAGCCAGCGGCCCCTCCATGCCCTTGACCTCATCAACACCATCTAACCGTGTGAAACTAATGAAGGGCTTCGAAATGACTTTCAGTGTCACTGAGCATGAGCCGAAATGAGGCGTGAGACAGAAACAAGCTAAGGGTAACAAACAAGGTTGTTGTTTTTCCCAGTTCTTGCTCACATCTGACAGGGTGACGCTTCTCCTCCCTGAGGGACGATGGTGTCTCGTCTTCACATACAGCCTATTCGGAGGAGGTATATGCAGCAGCACAATAAAGTCTTTAACTAGTGAAACAAGCAACATTTCGACATGCGACAAGACTTTAAAGACGAGTGTCAAAATTAGACTTCACCGTGTGTCGTCCATTCTGTTTGAGTTATTATATATGACTTAAATTATAGTGGAAACCTCCTGTAGTGATCATGTCCATCGGGGGGAAATTGATCACTATAAGCGGATGATTATTAAAACCAAATTGTTTTTCTTTGTCATCATTTCTCATCTCTACTTAATAATTGTGTAATAAACAGATGGATGTAATGCAATGGATGGCTTATCAATTTACTGAATTTTATTGACTGCTTCAAAATTCTGTACAGCTGTTTCAAACCCTTTTCAAAATACTGTAAAACTTACTGCACTGTGTACACTTTAAATACACTATAATACAGTACAGTACTGTAAACACAGTAACATCAGTAGTGCCAATAAGATACTCGGCCACAGCTAGGTGGTGGTTTCAGTGCGTTTCTACATGTTTAACAGGCCTAAAAATAAACTGAACTTGAAACAGAACTTGAAAACAGACATAATCATAAAATACAGTATCATGGCAATAAAGTAAAAAATACAATAACCGTGTTTTAAAAAAAAAAAAAAAAAAAACGTGTACGAGAAGACCTCAAATGAACTATCAGCGATGACTTAAATATTATTTGTATATGATTCCGTCTGAAGCGGTTAATCGCTGTAACTGTGATCACCATCAGCGGTTTTCTTTGTAATCTTTTTTTGCTTTAAGGTCGTGTATACAAATAATTATATTGTGACTAGCATCAAGCAGTGATGAGCACAATGTAGTGAGCCAAACATAACATTTTGTCCGCTTGTTTAATAGGAACAATACACCAGAACTAATGAGGAGAAGACTTGTTTTGTTGTTTTATAATCATCTAACATTAGCTTTGATCAAGGAATATCTGTGCCTTCCGGTATGCAACATTGGTTTGTTTTTTTGTCCCATACCAAGCAGTGGAAATAATCAAACAGTCTCGGACACAACCAGCCTTTGTGAACACGGATGTCCCGGAGTGACGCGAGAAGCAAGTTGGCCCATTTGTCTGCAGCTGATCATTCATTCCTATGCTCTGTCTAATCACATTCACAGCTCTGCATCAGGGGCTGAAGGCTGTGTGTGTGTGTGTGTGTGTGTGTGTGTGTGTGTGTGTGTGTGTGT